AATTTCTTATTGTATCTTAAAGTTTCTACTATGATATTATATAAATAAAAAAAAAAAAAAAAAAAAAAAAAAAAAAAAAAAGTTGCATGTATGACTAGCTATACTTTTACTAATTATAAATGTACTCTAAGATAATATTAACAAATAAAGTCAATGTTGGTTAAGTAATTAATTACTTGCTAAATAAAAAATAAATTTATATTATTATTTTTCTAACTTAAAAATATCTCTAAATAAAGTATATATAAGTAAAAAGAATTTCAAAAATATCTAAAATACTTAAAGCATTATTTGTAAAAAGTTGTTTAAAATATTATAAATAACAGTTATATTTTTTTAAAAAAATTTACTATGTTAGAGCATAAAATTGCTTTAAATTATATAAATTCAATTTTATAAAATTGACTAGTTATAAAAAAGTTAGTTTATAGATTTAGTACTATCTTTTTAACTTAGACTTACATGTGCAATTCTTATATTAATCAAGACCTTTTGTAATATTGTCATTACATCTAATGCTAATATTCCACAATTAGTTCGCTTTTTAGGACTTGAACTTAGATGTTAAAAATGTCAAAAAAAAATCTTAAACATAATAATATAACACTAAAACAAATACTAATTTTCTTGTATAATACGTATTATTATTTTAATTGTAAATAAAATTTAAAAATTAATAAATTTTGCTCTATTGATCCAATTTAGATACCAAAATAATCCTTTCAATGAGAGGATTCCAATGAATCTGAAATTATCCAGATGATCATGAAATTGGCAAAGATTTAGATATAATACCTATTTCATGATCACATGAAATGTCTGAATGACTTAGATTCATTAGAATTAGAGCTTATGGATTTCTTATTCGAATATTATTCAAATAATTTAGATCAACAAATATTTATTTGATTATTCACCAAATGACTAATATTGTTGAATAAATTTATTTGAATAATGTGCTAATAATATGTAGTTACTATGTGTAAAGCGGCCAATGACTGAAGTTTCATGTGACGAATAATTTGCTTATTCGAATAAGATTTGTTATTCGAATTATTTGTTTGATAATTGTTTATTCAAATATTCGCTGAATATGAATATTATTCGAATAACGAATACAAGGCTCTAATTAGAATCCCTTCATTGAGATGTTAAATCATCTAAATTGAATCAGTGGATCAAAAAGTTATAAATTTTTAAAGATTATACAATAATTCGATATAAAAATTCAATAATTAAGATTTAAAAAGACTTAACAAAATATAATTTATTTGGTTTTATTATTTAAAATTATGATATATTTAATCCCAAAAGCTTAGTCTTAAATAGCAATAATTAGATAAAATATTAATTATAAAAACTTTTTAAAATGTTATATTAATACGTAATGTATCAAAAGTAAATAAAAAACATAATAAAAACGGATTTCACTATTTTTCAACTCAGGTTCATCCTGTTCTATAATAATTATTTAAACCTACGAAACAAATTGTCATCACACATTTTGTTCAACCTTAATTAAAACAGTTCCAGCATCCACAACATCACCTTCTTTGACAAAGATATTTACAATTCCATCATTTCTAGAGTATATTCTTGTTTCAACTTTCATAGACTCTATAGTTAATATAGCTTCATTTTTATTAACTTTTGAATTTTGTGGTACTAAAATTTTTAAAATTTTGCACGGCATTGGCGCTGTATATGATGAGACTATATATAAATTTAAATTAGCACTTATACTCTTAAAATGGTTAAAAAAATTTTAATCTTAAATAAGTCATACCATCATCTTCGACATTTTCACTATAAACCTTTTTTTTGTTCCTCAGAAATTTGATTTGTCCCCCCAATTCCTTACAATGAACATACACTTCTTGTGTACGTAAGTTTTGAGGTCCAGAAGCTATGTCAAATATTCTCTGTATTCCATCTATAACCAAAGTATAGTTAGTTGGTATAGATGTGTAATTTTGAAAAAAAATATTTTTAAAAAAGAAAATCAAACCTATAGAGCATCTCAAAGACCCATAAACAATATCTAATGATGATTGGATAAGTAAATAAGTCATTACAGCAACAAATAAATTCTATTAGAATTGCAAAATATTAAAAGTTAGAACAAACCATTTTCATAAATTATCACATCCTTTAACAAGACACGTTTACTTTTATTGTTATCTCCTTTTATCCAAACACTAAATATATGATCGCTACTGTTGCCAATCTTCCCACCATCTAACTTTGTGTGATACTCATACTCAAGTTCCAAAACTTGAACATTAGATCCATTATAAACAATATATTCATCAGTAAAGTTTTTATATTTTAAATATCTCCATCCGGAAGGAACATGCTTTAAAGTTGTTCTTTGTTTTTCCCTAATGTACCATAACCATAAAAATGGTATAATTCCTAATTCATTCTGTATGTGTTGATTTTTAGACAGAGAAAACTGATGTTCAATAAAGTTAGTGTCATATTTTCCAGATATGAAACTTGAGTCATCCATAACTTGTAATAAAAATTGTTGATTTGTAATTAAACCAAGACAAACAGTATTTCGTAATGCAGATCTCATTTTTTGAATTGCTTGGTGACGCGTTGGTGCCCATACTGAGATTTTGGCAATTAAAGGATCATAATATACAGATATTTCAGACCCTTTTTTCACGAATAATAATAAAATTAGAATTAAGAAATGGAAATCCTTAAAATAAACAAAATATTGATATAATTTAATTATATAAACCTGTTTCAACACCAGTATCGTATCTAACATCTGGTGCTAAAGATGGTTTGAAATAAAGAATTTTACCAATGCTCGGAAGAAAATTGTTGCAAGGATCTTCAGAATAAAGGCGGCACTCAATGGCATGTCCCTATATCCATCTGGTAAGTTTTTATTAGGAATAATCGATAAATTTTACAATTTTACATACATTTGATTTTAATATTGGTAATTGTGAATGTGATAAATCATATCCTGTTAAATCAAAGATTTATTAATACTTTTATGACAGTGTAAAAGATAAATTTAATTACAATATGTTACTTTTACCTTGAGAAACTAATATTTGAAGTTCAACCAAATCTAAGCCAGTTATAAGCTCAGTAATTGGATGTTCAACTTGTAGGCGTGTATTCATTTCAAGAAAGTAGTATTTGTTTTCCTTAACATCCTATTTTCAAACATTAATTATATCATTAATATTATTGTAAATAAAAATCAAAACAATAATAGAAATTTAATAAGGATAATAAAAAGAAGGTAAAGCTTACTATAATAAATTCGACCGTCCCAGCATTCGTATATTTCAAGAGTTTACCAATTTTAATTGCAGCATCAATTATATTTTTTCTCAAATCCTGATCCAGTACTGGCGATGGAGTTTCCTATTATTTAGTAAAAAAATTTTTTTACAATAAATAAAAGATTAGAAAAATAATGTAATAATAATTTAATTACCTCAATAATTTTCTGATGTCGCCTTTGAACAGAACAATCTCTCTCAAAACAATGATAAACATTGCCGTAATTATCCCCTATTAGTTGTACCTAATTAAACAATTCTATATTAGATAATTTCAGTAATAAATTAAGATATTTTTATCTACGATCTGACCTCGACATGGCGAATTGACTCAAAATACTTTTCAATTAAAAGTCTATCTGAACCAAAGGACTGGAGAGATTCGGATTTTACAAGTTCTATTGCTTCTTGCAATCTGGGGTTAAATTTCACATTTAATATATAGAATAAAAATAAAATTTACATACGTTGACATTATATATACTTTGATTCCTCGTGAACAATACGCATACCCCTTCCACCTCCTCCTGCAGCTGCCTTTAGTATCACAGGAAATCCTAAGAGAATCATTGAAATTCATTGAAATTAATCATTCATTCAATATTATAGAAAGCACTATCATGTATAAGTAATAGTGTACCGATTTTCTTGGATTCATGAATCAAAACATCCAGATTCTGGCTATCTCCATTATAACCAGGTATCAAATTCACAGATGGTAAGTATTTGGTAAGTAAATTTTTAGCTTCAATCTGTTTTTTTTTTTAGGATTATAGTAGTTAATCTACGAATTCAGTACAAAATTTGGTTAAATCCTCTGAAATTAATAAAATTAACCTTATCTCCAATCGCTAATATTGATTCTGGTGTAGGGCCAATGAATATAATTCCGGAGTTGCTCACTTCTCTGGCGAATCCTGCATTTTCGGATAAAAATCCATACCCTGAAAAAAAAATTTTATACAATTGAATCAAGAAAATTAAAAAAAAAATCTATTGCCTATAAACTTTTATACATTATTTATACCCGGATGAATGGCATCAGCACCGACTCGTTTTGCGGCTTCGATAATTTTGTCTCCTCGAAGATATGAATCGACTGCAGAAGGCGGTCCTATATGAATTGCTTCATCTGCTAGCTTTACAAAAAGCGCGTTTTGTTCACTTATTAACCATATAAAAATTTCGAATTATAATTGAGATTATGAGTTAAACAGAAACAATTTCGTAAAAAAAAAAAATGTAATACTGAAAATAGCTTACATATCAGAATATACTGCAACAGTGGATATTCCTATTCTTTTACATGATTGCAAAATTCTACATGCTATTTCTCCACGATTAGCAATTAAAAGTTTTTTAATCGACATAACAAAAGTATTGCTGATCAAAAAATTTATTTTCAACCACCCAGTTTTATTACGCACAATTTCACGTGATAATGTAATGCAGTCTGAATTTAGTATACCGGTCTTTTTTCTAAAATGATTAGCTTTCATGGGTACAATTTTTGTCCACATAACTTCATTTACTTTAAAAGAATCGTAACTCAGTTAACGAAGTGAATATGTTAAAGGTTGTTAAATACTGAAATAAGCTCTAGTGATTGGACCCGGGTATCTTTTTTTTCAAACAACACCAAATTTTGTATCATATTTTTTGAAGTATTCATCTTTTTTAAAGCATATTCAATCTCAGCTACTGACTTGGACTACAGAAACTAAAGCTAAAAACTAACATTTAATTATACTAGGTAATTTTAATACTAATCAACATAGAGACAAACATTTTTTAATATTTACTGATCTGAATAATGCTAATTTAACTATTTTAATTTTTTACAATATTCAAGCACCTACCTGACATGACTCTACCAATGCTAATCAAATAGATGACTTTTGAATTTTCGTAATATATTGTTAATATTTAAACCTCTATCACTTATTAATGTTTTACATATTTCTAACTACAATCATTATATTTTATATACAATTTGACATACTAGTTTCATTTTACAAAAAAACCTCAGATACAAAAAGAAAAAGAGAAATATATACTTATTTAAAAAAATGATATCAGAAAATTGAAATATGTTTGAAAACTTCTTAAACATCTTCTTTAGTATATGAATTATTTCTTTATCAAATATAAGTAAAAATATGATAAACAAAATCTAAAACTTTTTATTAGTAAAATAAACTCTTTTTTATAGATTAAAAATACTAAATAAACAAATAATTAGCAAAAAATATACATAGAAATTTACAAAATAAATAAGTTTTTTAGTAACTAACAGTTGCTTCTAGCTTTGGGCTTGTAGTTTATAGACAAAGTAAATTAGAATCTTTGACAAGATTAGTAAAAAACAAAACAAAACCAACAACATTTCAATAAACAAAAAAACTAACATAAACTAGAAGAATTCTTATTTATATTCTTCTTTGAAATTATACTACAATTACACAAATAAAAAAGCAAACTACAAGTCCTCATAACAATAGTTCTTCAAAAAACAAAACCAGTATCAAGAAATATTTTACCTACTTAGATATATTAGTTAAAAATTGATAAACTCTTTTTTTAAAACCCTAAAACAATATAAAAAGTAGGTAATCTAGCTTATCTTATCAAATTTAATTATAATGTCATTATATACAAATAATAACAACAACAAATCTGTACAAACTAGTTTCAATAACATATTAATAGAATTTACAAATTTCATATTCTCAACAGAACCTGTTTTGGAAAATCTTAATACTAGAAATAGTTTAGACAATACAAATAATCAATATAATATTTTAAATAATAAAGAACAGACAAATTTAGATGCTATCAATATGGATACAAAATCTGTTGTAACTATAAATAGCAATTCGAAAGAACATAAACCACTTATTTATAATCAAATAACTAAAAAAATTTCATATCTAACAGAATACAAACTAAGATGAAGATAGATTACATATAAGAATAGATAGACAGTATATATAATAATTTACAAAATAAAATTATCTAATCTTTTAACAAAAATACTTGAAAATATAATAAAATTATTATTATATTTAAAACAAAAAAAAGAATTTTTAACTTCATAATATGCAAGTTGTAAACTAAACTAACTAACTTTTTTTTCATCTTATAATTAAGACAAAATTCAAACATCAGAACCATGTCTTTTTTTTATATTTACAATCTATATTATCTTATTAAATCATGTATAAAGATCTTTTTAGAGAAGCAATCAAAAATTATAAAACACAACATAAAATTATAATTACAATAAGAGTAATTAAAGATACTATGCATATAAAACTTAGACAAAAAATTATGATTAACTATCCTACTAATACAAATTTTACAATATAGCCAAAATTATATGTATTTGATTAAATATTATAAAGACTTTACTAAAGATAAAACTCTAATTAAATTTAAAGAAATACAAGAAGCAGTACAAAATGTTTTCTTAGTATAACTAGTTTTACTTTTAGCAGATCTAAATGAAATATCACAAAAAAACCTATAAATATTTCTTTTTAAATTTTTTATAAAAAATAAAGATCATAAATAAAAGTCATTATTATGACTAAACTATATAGAATTTATAACTTTGACCAATTGTTAGAAAAAACTATGCAACTTTAGGCCCAATACCAGAAAACATATATGAACTATATCTGAAAATAAGAGATCTCTTTTATATTACAGAGTGCAGTCAACTAAACAACTTGGCATATTTTTTAAAAAAACTACAAGACTACTAGGCTAGTAATAGAATATTCTCCAGTTTTTTTAACTTATTGCTATAAAAAAAACTACTACTATTAGCATATCAGAACCTAAACAAACAAATATAAACATTATTTTTTAATTAATTTACAGAATTTAAATACTAATTTTATACAAATTATAGAACAATTCAAAGAAGAATTCTCTTTTAAAAATTTTCTAAATAACTACTTTAAAGTTAAATTAGTATTGTTTAAAAACTTTAAAAAAATTAAAATATCTGATACCTTTACTTATTTTATTACAGACAACTAGATAGTAAAATGTTTTATTAACAAAATTATATCTATTTATAAATTTTTATTCCTACTACTATCTAATATAATAATAGCAAATTCTATTAATAAGTCAGATCTGTTAGAAAACTAAGAACATATCAAAGAATTCAGTATTGTAATACTAATAACCTTATCAAAATATTAGTAGATTTAGCTAGACAGTTTAGACAAAACTATCATTTTGATCACATTCCAGATACTTGGATTAAAATATCTATATATATTAAAGATATTAATATGCATAATACAAATTTAGATAAAGCAAAGTTTTTATCTAAACTAGTAATTTCAAATACATCAACTGAAATTAAATAATATCTAAATATAAAAAACATTAATTTAACAACACCTATTTTTATTATATAACAAACCAAATCCAAAAACATACTTGATTTGCTATAACAATACTTTATAATCAACAATATTTCTGATGATATATTATCTTTTTCAAAACTAAGCTAGAAGATCTTCTCACCTAACTGCCAACAATGATAACACTAATTAGTAACCCAAATATACTAACTACTAACAATAACTCTATAACAATTAACTTACAATTATTTAAAAAAAAATCAAACTTACTTGAACTTAATCTAAATAAAAAAATTAATATAACTACTTATAATATTAAAAATGCTAATAATATATTAAAAATGCAAACTTAGATTAAATACTATATAGCATCAAACTTGCATATAGTTTCTTTTACAGAAACTAAATTAAAAGAATTAACAATTAAATTGCTAACTACTCTATTATACAAAATATATATCTTAAATTTATATTTTACAATTCAAATTAATGAAAAACCAGTTTGAGAACAGCTTTAATGATCTGCAACCAACTACAATTATATATTTACAAAATTAATACTCTACTAGGCATTACAATTTGCATAGACTTTTTTTTTTTAATAACAACAAATCTTATATTATCTCAACTTACCTTTTCTCAAACTATGCCTTTTTCTTAAAATATACTTAATTTTAATTGCTTATTTGAACTACAAAAGCTAAAGCTAAAAACTGGCATCTAATTGTGTTAAAAGACTTTAATACTAACCAATATAAAAACAAATATTTTTTATTATTCACTAAACTAAACACTACTAATTTGACTAGTTTTTTAATTTTTTATAGCATTTAAGCATCTATTTGGCATGTTTTTAATAATGTTAATCAAATAGATAACTTTTGAATCTTTTCAGATATACTACTAGCTTTTAAACTATTATTACTAATCAATGCTACACATTTCTTTGATAGTGATCACTTTATTCTGCATACAATTTAGTATACTAATTTCTCTTTACAAAAAAATTCCAGAAACAAGAAAAAAAAGAAAAATTTATCTATTTAACAAAATAACACTTGAAAACTAAAATAATTTTAAAAATGCAATAGATATTATATTTAATATACAAACTACTCTTTTATCTAATATGAACAAAAATAAAATAAACAAAACCTGAAAATTTTTTTTTTGTTATACCAAAGTAGAAACTTTATTAAATAATAAAAGTAATTACATTAAAGATTTCTAAACTACATT